CGGATATGATGCCGGGCAATGTGAGTGCTGCTAAGGAAATCGCAGTTATACTGCTCGGCAATCTTCCTGCTCAATTGTTCTCTCTCTCTCTCTCTCTCTCTCTCTCTCTCTTTCCGAGCGCTGGTGTTTCGTTGTAATTTCTGCGGCTATTAGCGACTGCGACAGTGCTTATTTTGTTTGCTTATGGGTCAGATATAATTTTCGTCGACGTGCAATCAATTGCTTTTAGCTTTGGCTTGGATGCTATGAGCGTTAAGTGCTCGATTCCGCTCGATATTACCTCGAAAAATGAGGTCTGCGCGTTCTTCGATGTATAGATGCGTTGCATACTCGTACGTTTGACAAGCATTTCGGTTTTATATTCACCATTGTTTTCACAAAAAGTTCTGTAATTTTTTCTTCTATTATTCAGCTCATGGTTATTGATTTAAGTACAACGAAATTACTGAAATATTAAAACATTAGACTTAAAAACTGAATTATATATTGTTCGGATGCAAGTTTACTTTGCAAAGCCGCAAGTCAGCTTGTGGGTAATTGTAAGTGGAAGTGGTCTCCATATCAGTGCGTTACAATATTGTTTTCTGTTATTTACCGATGTATATAACAGACCATGTTACGGCCAATTACACTCTCATTTCCTGTTAGAGTATTTTCTGCACTGTACAGCCCAGCAGCTGCTTACGCAGTTTAACTTGACCAAGGCGAAAACAGTGAAATCAGAACAGAAATATAAACAGCTTCTCTTCTACGATTATATTTACAAGTGGATTTTTATAACTTGCATGAACTATACTATTCCCTTAAACTTGTGAATGCACCGGAAAATCATTCGTTATATCTGAGGCTATGCAGTATTCACTAGTCATCTTTCCTGCTAAGCGAAAATTCATGTACAGTAGAGCTTTATAAGAACCGAAAACTTATAAAGGATGCAACTCTTGGGATTGAATTCATATAAAAGTCATATAGTCGGAAGGTTAGCGCCGTTATGCGATAGGATTTCTTAGTATTTTTGTCGTATATATTACTAACAGGGACGAGTTTTCTCGTTTCGTTTCAATTCTATTATTTTCCTGCGCGCAAAAATAAATACGAATGTGCACACTACCGAGCAAACACAAAACACAAGCAGCGACCAAGCGAGCGTCCCATTTGCCAACAGGAAGAGACGGAAAAAGCTAGCTTTTATCTTGTTACTCGCAAGACAAAATTTCAAGCTAAGATGCATGTCTTTATGGAAGACATGCGCGCTTAAATATTATTTAATATCCTTTGAGAGGCGTATGCGTCAGTCGTATGCTTCGATCATCATGCAAAGTCGTAGAGACATTTATTTTATTATGTGGCTTCAGTTTTTCGTTAAATTTGTACTTTGACGTTGATAGAGTTTCAGATCAATTTTTCTTTTGTTATAATGTCGAAAGATCAAGCAATTTTATATTCAAGCACGCGTAAGAATTTATTTTTAAAGCATTTTTCACGAAGGAATGTATATGAGTAAACTGTGAATTCAATTATGCATACTTGTTAATACAAACAGTATTTGAATATGTATAGTACGTTCACAACAAATTGAGAATTTTTCTTTGTAAAATCGAAAAAAATGTTTTTCAACAATTTCAGAATGTTTAAGAATGTAGCAAATTTGAGATTTTTGTTCTAGAGAAACTATTGATTAAATTTTATCCTTTATCCTCACTTCTACGTTTTAATCAACAACAACAACAACAACAACAACAACAACAACAACAACAACAACAACAACAACAACAGCAACAATAAGAAGAAAACTCTGTAAACTTTCAAAATTATCCGACATTCCCAAACCGCGATATAACTCCTCACCCGGGCTCTCGACGTGCAATAAAAACCACCGACGCTTGACGATCACTTTACTTCTTTTCCGCGGCAAACAAACGCGTGCGTGCGGTGCATTTATCTCATTCCGCGTCAGGATTCTTGCGTATGTCGAAGAGAGAGAAAGAGAGAGAGAGAGAGAGAGAGAGAGAGAGAGAGAGAGAGAGAGAGAGAGAGAGAGAGAGAGAGAGAGAGAGAGAGAAAGAATTACATACGTACGACGAGACTCGCCCCTTATATATGATTCTATGTTTAGAAACCAGTCGTATGCACGTGGTCGTGTGAGTAATTTTGGAAACGCGGCGCGTCGTCGTCCGACAATGTAGCGAGACTTGAGGATCAGGGCTTTTGATGTTTATCGAATGCAGTGTGTCTGCATGCGTCGACGCCACCGTTGCCGGCTGCTGTTTTGGAATACGCCGGATTATACTATGTTTTGCTCTTTCTTTTATTATTTTTATACCTACTGTCTAGCCTGGAGATTTTTTGCATTGATTTTAAATTATTTATTTCATTTTTGCAGTTTGCGTTTTACCGTGTATATCATATATTTTCGATGCCTTTTGCGATATGTTTGAGAAGCATTACAATGAAAAGTATTTTATAGTTTTTAACGTTCAAGCATAATGCTAATTTATTTTAAGATATAATGGAATATACGCATTTTATATCCAAAGTACATTCTTACTCGTACTTTCTTTATGACTAAGTGAAACGCTGTTATTGCGCGCGCATCGGATTACCGTATTGCAATAATCAATATAATTAATTAGTTGCAATATTTTCCATTGCATTCAATGATATTCTGTTATACATTGTATTAGTAACCTGATATTTTCATATTCGGTAGCGTGCACGGTTCGCTCCCAAAGCCCTAGGTTCTAGTTCTTGAAATAAGGGAAAATTGAAAATTTCTTTTAATCATACTTTTAGCGCAAATTTTCTATTTTGTAAAGCCAGTATTTTTCATACAATGAATATAAAGTGTAATCATGAAATTCATTAAGATGGAACTCAATATTGTATTTTAATCAGTATTATGTATCTGTATTAAAATGATGAATCACTGTTTTCAAAAAATCCACTGTACATTCAGAAAGTTTAAATATTAACTCCTACAGTGTTAGAAGTCAAGCACAAAACACTAAAGATATCTATAATATCATTAAAAAATGTCGAATTCCACTGGCTCTTTTTTAAATTGAGCAAACATTCAAAGTATTTACCTGAGACATTCTTGCATGTGGTAAGCATATGACAGCGCGGGCGGTCAAGTCATAACATAAAATCGGCAGATACACGCTGACCGTAAGGCTCGCACGACTCTTGCCAGATGTAGCTGCCTACTCGTACTATTTCAACCATCTGGCGGCCGTTACAGTATTGACTTAATGAATATAGGGAGACTAATTACATCAATTGGAATATATCGTGACTTTGTCAAACGCTTTTTGAATCGTGATTATTAGTTTTTTGAATACACATATACATTTTTCATTCTTGTTTGTATCAAATGAATTTTTTCCAATTTCTAAACAATTACAAAATATTTAAGTGACATCATGGATCAACTAATCATCAAAAATTTTGAAAAATTTATTGATTTGTGTTTTTACATCAACAAATACGACATTGTTAAGTCATAAGTTAATTAATAATTGAAATATGACTGTGAAATTTCAAAAACTTGGATCACATTCTTCTTTTTATATTGCATGTAGATCTAACAACTTTCAACCAAAAAAACCGTAAAACTTTTTAATTGTTCCGGAAACTCTGGGAGAGCAACTTCTTGAGGGATATCATAAAAAAGTCAGTCAATGTTAAAATGGACAGAAAAGTAAGACAGACTGAAGGATGAAAATTACAAACAGATGCATAGTCATCAATGGCGCTTAACACCGTGTAGAAAAAAAGGATTCGGTTGTGGTAACGGAAGCGCCGTGATATTTTCAAGCAATGAATTAATTAGCACGTGCTAACATGTCGACAGTATAACAGCGTCTCCGGTATGTGCAAGGCTAATAAAAAGCTTTTTCTCAGCTCGCACGACGCAAGATTTACTCGCTGTTTATACACACAATAGTGCCGCCTTTTATATTATGCAGTAGCATGATGCTTATCGAGACTGTGCCGCCGCCACAGTGCCGCTAGTTTAACACGTGTTTCGCGCGTGCCAGACGACGCGCGACTGGCGAGGGAGAAACTTCTCGTATGAACGTCTGACCGTGCGGATGCTCCTTTTTTTCGGTAGTTGTGCTGCCCGGCTGTATAACGTTTATGGAGTGCTTTCTATAAAATGTACACCTGCGAGAGATTATGAATCAATTACTATATTAAACAAATTTTCAAGTATAGCTTTTGCCTCTTAATAAGCAGCAATAAGAATATAATTTTTAATTTTCGAATGGAACGGTAATAACGGATGGCACAGATTTGGTCCTCATCAATTGTTATGCTCTTTGTGATTCGCTGAACGAACAACGAAGAGCAATAATATTTGCTTTTTATTTTTCCCTGCTGATAAAATGGACTACAAAGTAATGCCCATCTCTGCAATCCCATTACGTTATTGATATTGCAGAATTATCATTATCGCATCGAACGAAAGCCGAAGAACGAAAAACTGACATTGCATTGGCTTAACAATAAAAAAGCGCGTAGAATTAATTTTATATCAACCGTTTTCAAATGAAAAGTCAACGTAAAACATGTGTAGCTTTTATTTACAAATTTAATATTTTGAGTTTCTCAAATAGCCGTGCTTTCATTAGCGCGCTGTGCATTGTTTAATGCAAACCAGTCAGCACAGCGAACAATACTAATAACATTTCCGAATGCATGATCTCGTTGGCTATTGTGTAAAGAAAGCCGTTCCGCAATTTTGTTAAAAAATCTCCGTGGATCCCAAAAAAAGAAAAAATCTCAGCATATGCTGTTGCGCACACGAGCGCAGCAGCAAAGCTCTGGAAGCGAGAGAGAAATAGAGAAATAGAAAAAAAGGGCCGGTGATGTCACGTCCTATAACGCTGAAGAATACTGCGCTACACGGACTACGGAGTCGGGGACGGCGGTGGCTCTCTCTGGGTCGCGCGCCGCTATTGCGAGGAGGAGCAGTCAGTCGCGCGCCGACCGCCGCAACGTCAAGCACGGGGTGATTCATTCTCGTACGTCTGCAGCTTTCCCTCTCTCTCTCTCTCTCACTCTTATCCTCTCTGTCTCTCTTCTCGTGTGTTGTTATCGTTGCATTCGCAGCGCGAGTGTCGCGGGTCCAAGCCGCAGTGCGAATTCGCAATTGTCAGATTAACATTCGTGTGTGTATTCGATAAGAATACAAGAAGCTATCACGGATGTAAACATAAAAAAAAGAAAAAACCAATCGAGAGAATCTCTCGCGTCGAAGACCAATTGTGCTTTCACGCGCTAGTGGTAATGCGTATGTTTGTGCAGTTATGAATGATTCCAGTGGTTGATCCGCGAGCTGGATTGCGTTGCGAGTGATAAAAAGAAAAAAAAAACATCGTACCGCAGCAATGTCGCCGGCGATACCGTTTCTGCTGTTAATGCTACTACTACTGAGCCTCGTCGCTGGCTCTGCTCTTGCGGACAATTTAGGTAATGTATCATTTTGCAGAGGCTTCTCTCTCCTTCTCTTTTGTATTATAGCGCGCGAATTTCGCCAGCGGTGCAAGTTTCCGCGCGTGTACGTGAGCCAGCCACACCGTGCAAAGTGCATATTTATGGCTTTCAAAGTACAAGTTCATGAAATTTTTACTCTCGTGCCGCTTCTCATTTTTGTCCATTTTGTTTTTTGCCTGGCAACTGTTCACATCAAAAATACGTTTTATTTTCACTTTGGCTGCGGAAAAAGTGAAATCGTTTTCGTTACAGTTGTCGAGAGAAAAACGTACATCAGTCGATCAACTTTTACGCGTACTTCCATAGATTTCGAATCCTTTAATAAACACATCTCTGACGAGTCGATAAATTTACATCAAAGCTAATTTAAGTCACTAGCACTGACGACGAATCCATCGCAGAATTCTCATTTTCCGCACTCTGATATTTTCTATTAGCGTTTCAGACGTGTCCATTGAATTACTTTCTTTTATAAGCATTTGCACAACACTGTGCGCGTTTTTTTCTTTTTAAACTTAATTTGAAATATAAAACGGTTACGTACGATTTGGAATGGATATCTGTCAAGTCCAAAACATTCGGTAAATTTCACCTGTGAGCTTTCACAGTTTGTTCGCTAACATCGAGCAAACCAACAAGCCTTTTTTAGACCTTTTCTCTCCGCGAAACTAGGTTAAGAAAATACGATCCTTCCAGTATCTCCAGCGTATCCTCATTACTTCCTTGGTTACGCGTCTTTTGACGCAGCTTGGCAGCAGGCAGCAGTACCCTTTCAATTATATTTGCCGCGGTTTTATCATCGAGCTCGCGGGCGCGCTCGCACTAACACGTTAATTAACTCCCGAGGGGAGCTACAACATCTTCAGAGGTATGACTTTGAGGCAGTAGCAGCGGCAGCTCGCAGGCACGAGGATCTTATTGCGCATTCGTGTAATTAGAGAGATGTAGAGGTACGATGGCGGGCGGCATTTTCATCTCGTACATTCGCCAGCGCAACGAAGGTAAATCAAAACTTGCATGCCGCTTTGCTGAAGAAGCATCAACGCGAGCTTAAAGTCAAGATGACGCCCTAAAGGATTATGACCTCTGCCCTCGACGTCGCGAAACTTTATACAGTTCCTTATATACCTCCCTCTCTTTCTCTCTCTCTCTCCACTTCCCTCCACCCCCTCTCTATCCATCTACTCGCCTCTTTCGATTAATTGAGAGTTCTTATTTACCACGGAGACATAGTATACTCCATAGGCACTTAGGGACGAAACTTTGCCAACATCCTCTTTACCTGCTTGTCTTTGGCAGATGTCGTATTGTCTTCTCGTCTTCTCTCGCCTTCGAGAGACACTTGAAATTTAATGTATGCAAGCGGCTGTGATCAATATTTGATTTTGACACGCTGTATATTTAGAGCACGAGCTGGAGCGAAGTTAATAAAGCTTCACGCTGAAATCGATACGATTGAAAATGTGACTGTTGCCATGCCGATAACTGCGAGACAACGTCAGAATTATTTGTATGCTTTATTTATTTTTTTTTTATTATAGCTGAATCACTATATTATTTTCTCTGGTTTAGATAGAGAAACATAATTATTTTAATAAATTGATTTCGAACAAAAAAATTTTTTTATTATCAACAAATCAGTTCGATTCAACGACCAATAACGATGATCTTGCAGACTTAGGTTACCTATTAAATTTCGATCTTGCATTATTTGCCACCAACAATCTGATTCAGTAATACGTATACGAATCATTCAAGCAGAAAATTGCTCGCATCGGTCATGAACTATACCAACAGGTATAATTTGGAATGATAATTAGAATTTGAATGTTCGCTGTAATTACTCGTGTAGTACTGCAGTTAACGGTGCGTGTACTAATTAGCTTTGGTGCATTCATCTTTACATTTCTTACTTAATTTTCCGAAATTTAAAGCATTAATATATCATAAAATTATAAACATACAAAATTTACTGATTTATCAATTTGACATAAACGAAAATTCCGTCGCAAATATTATTAAAAAATTATTGATAAAAGAGAGGCAAACGCGTTCTTGATATTAAACGATTACTGAAAAATTCACGTCGTATCAATATCGTAGTGTTTCGTACGTGAAATTTCGGTAAAGACACACGTGCGCGGCTGGGGTGAAGAAAATATCACGAAACAAAAAATATATTAAAAATAAGACAAAATTTTTATCCTCTCATTCGATTCTCTTGTAATAGGGAATCCCTCTTCTTTTTTCCAATAATCCACGAAGATGTTCTTATCGTCCCAATATTGACGAGGTTCCAATACGAACTTTATTAAAAAATACCATACAATCCCGACAACGTCCAAAGGGTACCAACTCAGAACATTTTTGCTCTTCTCTTTTTCTCTCGATCGTCGTCGAATTTTCATGCTGCGACCCTTTGGCATATCAAAAGTCGTTTAGCCTTAGATCATCCACCGCTCGGATGATCTAAAGTTCTACGCGCCATAAAGTTATTCGCGTAACATTCGGAAATATGTAAGGGTAGACTTTGAGAAAGTTCACACATTCGCTCCATTTTTTAACTTCTTTTCTTGCAAACACAGATATATCTCGAATATTTCAAGCATTTTTCTCGATTGCTTTCCAATGTCGTTTTAATTCACAAATATCTATGCACAAGTGAATATGTGTATACATCTACATTAGTTGTTCACCAGCAAACAAATTTTATTTTCTTTAAACATCCGGCTAATGTCAATCATAAAAATCATCATCTTGTCAATACTATGTTTGAGAGTTTCAATAAGCTGCTTGTGAAGATTAGAAAATGTTATTTATAATATAAATTTAAAAATGTTTACTACACATGGTGAATGATCGTACACTTTTTGCTTTCAACTTTTTATGTGAAAGGAATTTTTACGTTCAAACGGCGTTTTCATTTTGCAAAAGCTCTACCTTTTACAATTTATCCATTTATTTCTACACTCAACTTGAAATTAATTTCAAGTTATTTTCGCGCTGCGATTCGATAAAATTAATGAACAATCGTCATTGAAATATTAATTTGTATATCTATGTAATAAAATGAAATGGATTATTCGGTTGAATTCTTAACTAAATTTCTTTGCAGTATATTCCCAGCACCCTTTCGTGACATGCAACTGCTAATCACTCAAGTAATTGTTAAATTACAACATTAAATTAACCGCATCTACTCGTCATCTCCATTTCATTACCATTACACTGATTAACTACGTTTATTTGTGACAAAGCATTCTTTTTTCAAAGCCCTTGGTAAAATGCATAAATATTCTATTAACCAGGGAATTGCTCTCATTAGAAGAAAATAAATTTTCTTTCAAGATGATTTTTTTAACAATTATTGATCTCTTTTCCCAGGAATATCATTTGTTTTAGTGTAAAATTAACATTTTTCAGCGACAAATCCCGTCTCAAAAATCCCGTCTAAAAAAAATTAAAAGAAAGTCGTTCTTTTATCTGCTTTAGATGTTGATAATGCGAGTGTTCCATTTTGCATAAAATTACAATAAGAAGTCGATGTCGGCTTCCGCAGGATCGTGGCCCCCGAATAGCCCAGAAGCCTGTAATTAGCCACTACCTGACTCTTTTTTTCTACAATGTTACGCCAAGCGATGTGACGTTAATGCCATCACAACAGTAACGATGAGAGTTCCATCATTATACAGAAGGTGTACGAGCACCCGTTACTTTTTTCAATCGTTAATTTTTGTTTGAAAAATTGTGTATCATTGACAAATCAAAATCGATGAAATTGTATGACGCCGAAAGTGCAGTATAACTTTAGCAAAGCGGTGATTGCAGAGTTGGGGTGGGAAATTGAATTTTTTTTTTCTTCGTATCCAATAAAATCTATAATCTCATTTATTGACAATGCTAAGCAGTAGTACACATTAAAATATCTTGAAAACTGAGTATTTATAACTAAGCGCTTATCGCATGCATTCTTTTCCAAAAATTCCATCATAATCCTACGGCGCTATACTCCACACAGGTATGAGCGGATGACTTTGACGGCCAGAGCTTCGACAGGTCGGTCGGCGAGCGCGCGGAGACGTCGTTAATCATAACGATCTCCGCAACGTAAGCTACTTAAGTTGCGAGCTACAGCGTGTCGTCCGATCTTAGCCGATAAATCACCGTATAGGTATAGGCGAAGTACAGGTGAAAAATTGATAACTAGGCCGCGCGACACTTGAAGAAGAAGGAATGCGTGTCTCGAGCAATGTGTAACAGCATACGCGATTTACCTTCGGGCGAGAGTAGGATTTATTGATGGTGCACACAGCGGAGATTTATGGCTGAATTCGACAAACGCGAGCACCAAGATGTTTGTTTTGCTCGATAGTGGAATGCAATTAATGTGCATTTTCTTTACTTTTTATTGCACTACTGCTACTTGTTTAATTCAACGAAACGACCGTTACGTCGCTCGGCTCTGCAATTATCCTATTAAACTATTTTTCTTGTATAATTTCATTACTACATCTTTCGCTTATTTATAAATCGTTACGATAGTCAGTCACATTTGTAAAATAAAATTCGACGCAGTCAACTTATTTCACCACGTGATATCTAAACTTCTTAATAGCTTTTTATAGGTCAGCCACGAGAACGGAAACCAATCAAGAACTCCGAAAGAGAGAGAGAGAGAGAGAGAGAGAGAGAGAGAGAGAGAGAGAGAGAGAGAGAGAGAGAGAGAGAGAGAGAGATTGGAATTATTGTTAGCGAAGTTTGCGCGCGCCGAGAGAGATCTTTTCCAACTGCCACCTAGAGTGAGAGAGATTTTTTTACTCTTGGTTAAAACGGCAGGATAATTAAGTTGGTAGTCAAGCGTTTTACGTCCTATCCTAGAATTATTGACGTATAGAAACTTTTCGTCGATAGTCGGTTCTTCTCATAAATTCATATTATAATTGGCACACCCATCGGAGATTGAGAGTGTAACGCTT